ATAAACAATTTCAATTAGATATAGAATTTTCTTCTCAAAAAAGTATTTGATTCCAGAGAGTAAGTCATCTGTGTACCAAGTTTGGTTGAAATTGCTCGAGGCGCTCCAGAGTTATGCTGGAACACATTCTGTCTGTCTGTCTGTCTGTCTGTCTATCTATTTATCTATCTATCTATCTATCATCTATCTATCTATCTATCTATCTATCTATCGATAGGACACATAGATAAGCAGAAAAATATGTTTTTGAGAAGAAAATTCTATATCTAATTGAAATTGTTTATTATTGTAAAACTTAATTCAAATAGATGTTAAAAATCATAGTATCTATTTCAATACTATCTTCTCCAGTGCTTTCTGCATGACGTTTGTATTTAGAAAAGAGACTGAGTGTCAAATAATGTATTCCATAGTCAATAAGAAAAATATATAAAACCTGCCATGTTTAAGTGCTGAATAAGATAACATTTCCTTGTAAGTAAAAAATTACAAGGAAAATGTAAATTTACAAGGAAATAAATAAAAAAATAAATAAATGTAAAATATCAATTTACAAGGAAAATTTTGCTTGCTATTATTATATTGGCATTATTCTGACTAGACAATTAACATTTGGTATTACTATATCAGTATTACTCTGACTACAGATTTACTCTTTTCTTTTAATAGACTTGTTTTCCACTGAGGAGCAACTGTATATTTCCACACCAGCTTTGTTTTGACCTAGTTCCATTTGGGGTGGCGGATATGGATTACTTTCATCTAGTAAGACTTTCTACAAATTCTGAGGAGTTTCACTGTATATTGAGTATTTGGTTTAATTCAGAACTGTATGTCTAGTACATTAGACATCAAATAACATTTACTTTTCCTATCCAATTATCATTGAATTTGGTTACATTTTTACAATTTGTGAAAATAAAAGTATGTCTTCTTAAAAATCTTTTAGGATTCTCTTGCAAAGCAGTATTGAGCCAGACTGGATTGGATCTTCTATGTGGAAACATCAGACAAGTACCTACCAATGTGTTCTCAAAATTAATTGAATTGTTAAAAGACAATCATCATGGGAGGAGCTGTGAGTGCAGGCGAAGATAATGATGATTTAATTGATAACTTGAAAGAAGCACAATATATTCGTACTGAGCGAGTAGAACAAGCCTTCAGAGCTATTGATCGTGGTGATTACTATCTGGAAGGCTATAGAGACAATGCATATAAAGACTTGGCTTGGAAGCATGGAAATATACATTTATCGGCACCATGCATTTATTCTGAAGTCATGGAAGCATTAAAGCTTCAACCTGGATTGTCTTTTCTTAATCTGGGTAGTGGAACCGGATATTTAAGTACAATGGTGGGATTAATATTAGGTAATATTTTTAAAATTATTGAACATTCTTTTATATTGGCTGAGATTTTAAAGTAGCATGTTTATTCCCCTGCCAAACCTGCAAGATATTAACAATTAGCTTTTCAAAATAGTGTCCTGGTATATAATTGATCAAAATTTCTTAAATTACCAAGAGATTTTTGGCTTTGCAAAAATGAACAAATGTTTATAGCTTAATTTTTCTGTCAATATTGCCCCCTTGTACAAAATAGAAACCTTTCAATTGTTTTAAAAACACAATAATCATGACATTTAAGTTGAGACTTAAATTTAAATATTATATCTTTATTTCACTATTTTGAAAGTGGGAGATAAAGTGAGGAAAATAACATAATTCAATACATGTTCCCTGATAAATAAAGAAGGAATTTTGAGCTATACCTTCTTGCTATGTTTTAGTGAAAAAGCTGCTAATAATACTAAGCACTAACCTGGATTTTTTCCTGCTTTTTATAAACAGAAGCAGGCAGTTGAATAAACAACTGCACTATCATTATCATAAATGAGATTGCCATCATAACCACATATTGCAGGCGTGTCAAACTCAAGACCCGCAGGATGGATCTGACCAGCAGGGTGCTTAGATACAGCCCACAGAGCCACCCTGATAGCAGGGAAGGACAGGCTTTTGTGCTGCCCTCCCAGGCTCCATTTTTGGCTGCAACAGCCTGCAGCCCTCTGCCAGCAAAAATGGAGTCCGGTGTGCCACTTGTGGCTTCCCCAGGCTCCGTTTTCGCTGGCAGAGAGCTACAGGAGCCCATCGTGGCTGAAAACAGAGCCTCGTATGATGTCGAGCTGGCCATGCCCACCCAAGCTATGCCCCCCCCCCAAGGTCAACACAACCCTGATGCAGCCCTCAATGAAATCTATACTATTCTATTCCAGTTTGACAACCCTGACATAGTGGTTTTGATTGTAAAGCAAGGTTAAGCACAGTTTTGTGAAACCATCCAAAGATCTACAATTGACAATAAACAACTTTCTGCAGTACACTAAGTTATCTGCAGTCATTCCTTTTTCTTCTTATAAAGAATAGGCACTATGCCCTGGTATCTTTACTCCTGTATCAGTATAGCAGCTATATGGTTTGGGGCTTATTGGATAACTTTCTTTTGTAACAATACATACGTTTCCACTATCTACCTAATGCTGTGTAGTTGTTTAGCATTCATATCAGTGTACAGTTTTATGAAAAATACATTGATTCAATAATCTCACATGGTTGCTGAATATTAATTTACAGGCCCTTTTGGAATAAATCATGGAATAGAACTACATCCTGATGTGGTGGAATATGCTAAGGAAAAACTAGAGAACTTCATAAAATGCAGTGATAGCTTTGATAAGTAAGTATATTGATGGCTAATTTTATATTAAAATCTTCTTTTACCCTGTGGGGGCAGTAAAATATTTATGAAGAATTTTGAGGAAACTTGCCATGCTTATTTATTGCAGTCATAATTACAAGTTTGCAACATTATTTTAAAATGTTCAAAATGTAAGATATTCATCAATCTGGTACTGTAGTTGTATTATCAATACTCTTGTACAGTCTTCAAAAGTATTGCACCTTGGTTTTATATATATATATATATATATATATATATATGTGTGTGTGTGTGTGTGTGTGTGTGTGTGTGTGTGTGTGTTTTATTTGTGCTGATAAATAAATAAAGGTATTTATTTATTTATTTATAAATATATACATACATACATACAAACATACATACATACATACATATTCGTACACACACACCTACATACATACATATACACATACAAACATACATATACACTGTGTTTCTCATAAAACACGATCCACCCCCAAAAGAAGGCCCAGTGCTGTTTTGTGCGCATGCGTTAAAATGAAGACAACCTCCTAAAATTTGGCCCTATTTAAGTGCATGTGTGACTAATCCGCAAAAGAAGCGGCAAGGTGTGTGGGTTGCTCCTTTCAGCTGTGAAAGAAGCAACCCAACAACCAGGCCAGGTGCATCGCTTGCTCTTTTCAGCCACTAAAGAAGCAACCAGGCAAGGTGCGTCACTCGCTCTTTTTGACCACAAAAGTAGCAGACCAGCTGCCAGGTGAGGTGCGTCACTGTTTTCGGCTGCAAAAGAAGCAGCCAGGTGAGGTACATGGGGAAATTAGGACACCCCTCAAAAAGAAGGCCTAGCCTTTTTTCGGGGGTCAAAAGAAAATAAGACCCTGTTGCATTTTCATATATATAAATATTTCTACTTGGTAAAATTACTGGAATGCATTCTGAATATTTCTGAACTTCAAATTAAAATTGAGTAGTACAATCCATTTTGGATTTCAATCAAGGAATATTTTAAATAGCACCTGTATCTCTCCTACTTTTTCATAGCACCTGCAGATACTTGGGAATTTTCCCATGAATCTGGTAGGCCGTTCTATCATCTGCCTGTTTAGCTACCAGCAGCAAGAAGCAACCTGTTCTCTTAATATTTTTGCCTACAAATGGCCTTTCAGTGCTAGCCAATACTGGAATGGCTCCTTTGTTGAAGAATTCTGAGAAATGCAGCCCTAGCAGTGACACCCAAACTGCTAATGGAGAAAGAATGAAAATAAACCTGACCAAACATCTGCTTGACATTTGAAACTGTTCTATACAACATTTTGTCTACGAACTCTTGACTCTTCATGTATAGGATTCATGATGGTAACTATTTGATATATAACTGGCCAATTAAATGACAGGTGCTTTGCTAATGTCTCATTTGAATGCATGGGTTGGATTAATGTACTTCCAGATTTTTTTGGATAGTTGAGAAAATGTGGTCAGCTGTATCTAAGAGGTGGTCAGTTAGTTTTGTTTGAAAGAATGTTTTATGCTTCTTTGAAAAAAGCTGCAGTGCACCTTTTTCCCTTAAAAGCCCTCTCTGGATTTAACTGTATTGGTCAACTAATTCTTTATTTCTAAGATTTCATTTTTTGAGAAGATTGTTGAACTGCTGTGAGAAGACAGTGGAATTCTATGAAGCAAACTTTCCTAGAATTGATTATTTGGACTCTTCTCAGTCAGTCCTGGAACCATATTTCATTGCTGTCCATGATTTTTGTCAAAACACTGATGGGATAGTATGCAACTTCTGGCCCAATTGACCTCTTGGCAGTCATTAACTATCATGTCCAGAATAGCAATGGATAGTTTTAGCCAGAAGTTGTCCAAGAAGTAATCTAGTAGCCTCATATGTGGACTGCTACAGGTTTGATCCTCTTCCCATGACTTTTTAACATTTCTTTGAAGATAATGAGAAGGCCATCCGTCAGTTCATGATGTGCTATATTAATAGGCTGGTGATACTCAATTATATATCACCATCCTGGGCCATACTGGTAATGCAGACAAAGCCTTGTGCTGGTATTTGGAAGTTATTAGGATCTAGATGGAAAGGAACATGCTGATACTAAACCCAGCAAGATACAGTTAGTCATTATTTAGGGTATCTGCCATCTCTACCGTTTTTCTTGAAGGGCAGAACAGCCCCTGATGGAGTAATTCTGTAACTCATGGGTCACAGCTATTGCTGGATAGGCAAATGGAGGCCATGTCCAAGAAACTCTTTAACGAACCCTGACTCGTATACCAATTGTAGTGGTTCCTGGAATGTGAGGACTTTGCAATGACATTCTCTCACCCCAACCACCTGTTGGGGCTACTGCAGTGATTTATATATGAAACTGCTGTTAAAGATCACTCATTAATTTGCACTATCTAATCGCTTTTAGATGGTTTAACAATATTAAACCATCAAAATATGAAGCCTGCAGTTAGAGCCCTGCATTAGCAATTTAAATTATTGGCTTTAACCAACGAAGCCCTATATGGCTTAGTAGTGAGATACCTTCAGGATTGCTTCCTCCAGCCAGAGTCAACATATATGATACAACGTATTGGAGAAAGGCTGATAGTTTCTCACTACTGAAATTAGAGGAGGCAAGCTTGTAGGAGATATTTATTATGATCCATGTACTATTGAACAGTGTTTCATTGGAAGTTAGATTTGACCTAATTCTGTTGACCTTACAGAATTGTCTTCTGGAGAACTTTATACATTTGGTTAAGATAGTGTGGAAGACTTATTTATATATTGCTCTGGTATTAAGCTATTTATGAGTTTTTTTGTTACATTATATGGTTGCGCTGTATTATTTATACTATAGCTATTTTTAAAAAACTGTAAAGAATTACATGATTTAAAAAGTCTAAAATCAGTAAATAAGTAATCTTTTGGCCTTCATTATGGCTTATAATGAAAGGATTCATGCTATATTTAAATTTTTATGTATTATTAAGTATTTAACGTCTTAGCTACTTCAAAGTTGTATTTTGGCACATATTTTGAGTATGTATTAATTGCTAATATCTAATTTACCATTACATTAATAACTGCTACTATTTTTATTTAGCAATTTTCAGACTAAACGTTATATTCTTGGTATAAATGGATTGTAGGTTGTGTTTCCATAACCTATGGATCTTGGACTTTACTATTCAATCTGCCTTTGGATTATGAATTTCCTGTCTGGCCGCTCTCAGAGGGTCAGATTAGATAATCATATCTCTTCAGCCCTTATTCTTAACACTGGTACACCACAGGATTGCGTGTTGAGTCCCTTACTCTATACTCTTTATGTGCATGACTGCATTCCTACTCACGCTAGTAATACTTTTAATAAATTTGCAAATAATGCAACAGTGGTGGGACTCATCTCTGGGGGTGGGGATGGGGGTTGAGTCTCCTCATCAAGATGAGGTGGAGTGGTTTCTTTTCTGGTGTGGAGACAATAACTTGGTCCTTAACACCAATAAGACCAAGGATTATAGAAGGAATAGATCAGATATCCAGCCCTTGCTTATCAATGGAGACTGAGTGGAGCAAGTGGCCAGTTTTAAGTTTCTGGGTGTTATCATAAAAGAGGACCTGACCTGGGGTGCTCACATTGCAGCATTGGTCAAAAGGACCCAGCAGAGATTATACTACCTGAGACTTCTCAGGAAACAACAACTGAATGAAAAACTGCTGGTGACCTACCACCACTGCACCATAGAGAGTATTTTAACTTACTGCATCTGTGTATGGTTTGCCAGTTGCACAGTGGCAGATAAGGACAGTACTCCAGAGGGTTAACATCATTGCCCAGAGGATCACTGGTTGCCCTCTCCCCTCTTTGAAAGAGCTTTATAGCTCCCACTGCCTTAAGAAAGTTCAAAACATTCTTAAAGATCCATCTCATCCTAGGCACCCTTTTTTAAAACTTTTACCATCTGGCAAGCGGTACAGGATAATAAAAACAAGGACAAATAGGCTGAAAAACAGATTCTAACCCAAGTCAGTAACTATATTGAATTCTACTGTATAGTGCTATAGTAATGCGATATCGGGTTTTCAATTCAATTGCATAGAATGTGAAGGATATGTGTTTGTGTTTTATTTTTATAGTTATAATGTACACTGAAGATGGCATTTAATTTCATTGTACGAGGTGAAACGACAATAAAATAAACTTAATTATGCTGAGCATAGGATACAGGCAAACCATAGGTTCTAAAGCACAGATCAGTATGTATTGATATTGTTTCTTTGGTTTTAGTTTTGTATGATTGAAATATCTACTTTAGGCAAAATAGTTACATGCCTCCCTTTCCTGTCTGTCCAGTTCTGTCAAATTGGAAAGGTAAATTAGTATTTTTAATATTCCTACTGACATTAGTAGGAAATATTCACGGTAATTCTTTCAATTTTAGCTAATTTGGAGTCAAACAAACCCTAAAGTGGTCATTTATACTAATAGGTTGGTCACGTAAATATCCCATATTTACTTCAATATTGCTTTGAAAATAAACTCTGAGGATTAGCTGTTACAGACGTCTTAATGATGATAGTGAGACACTATTGTTGATTTAATTTTTTAAGCATGAAGAGTTCTCATCCTTTTATTTAGAACAAATTTTTGTTAATATGTTGTAAATATATGCAAATATGGAAAGCAGCAAGTATGCTATTAAATGTTTTTAATAGCATACTTACAATATATAACCTTGGGAACCTAGCCTAATGAACCTTAGCCTAGGTTCCCAAGGTTATATATAAACTTTGTTATCTACAGTAATGCCAACAGGTAGAGCAGGCACCCACACACTTACAAAATTCACTGAGAAATAATAAAAATGATGCATTGGAAACAAAACATTGGAAGAAAAGAAGCAATTTCTGTGACTTTTATTGAAAATTGTTTTATTTGCAAAAAAGTTATTCCTGTTACCAGTAGTATTTGAGGCTTTAAATATGGCAAAACATATAAAAATAATTGTTACAG